AAGTCAAGTCTTAATGCAGTCTTAGCCAGATGGATTAAGAGGATGGCTGTTGTTTTAGCGGAATAAATCTACGCCTCCTAATCAAATGAAACTGAGAAGGGCTATTGGTATTGATATGTCAATCCAACCACTATTTTTTAGATCAAAGATCAAGTTTCTTTAAAGGGAAACCTATGTGGTTTTCAGTTATACCACCAAACAAAGAATAATGATGACTTAAAGAAGACTTGGATTGAGGTGATGATGATGGAGGCAAGTATTTAGTAGAAACAGAATGAAGGGTTCCTTCAGAGAGACAGAGAAGAAACTTAGCAGAAAGATGCAAGCTTGACTTGATGGAATGACTTACTATTTGGTGATCCTGACACTGAGAGTGGGAAGATTCCAAAGAGTAAAGGACTCCAAACGATAACACGGCGATGATACGGCGGTGAATCCAAGTTGAAGGTTGCTGATTTTCTGGTCTGAGTTGGTTCTGGGTGGGTCTGAACCTTGAAGATCCTGAAAATGCGAACTCAGTGTCTACTGAGAAAATTTTCAGAGTTGGATTACATAATCACAACATGTACATGTGGTAGAGAGTTGGAATTCCAACTTGGTTGATATTTCACAAGGTACTGTGGAATATTACAAAGTCTATGAAGGAGAAGAGTAGTGCAAAAGTGTGTAGTGGTGACTAGGGTTAAAATTAACAGAACAATTCATTTCTGAAGTCAGAAAGTAATAAAAGATTGAGATGAAAAAGTTACAGTAGGGACTTGAGTGAAAAAGGAGGACTTAAGCAGTCTTTTGGCCAGCTTGGCTGGCTCTAAGGCTGACAGGTGCCAAGAGGCCACACCGCCGGGAGGAATCCCTCCTGGCAAGCTGGTTTTTAAACCAGCTCGTTGGGAGGGGTTCCTCCCGATGTGCTGGTCTGTGTACCAGCTCGTTGGGAGGGGTTCCTCCCGATGTGCTGGTCTGTGTACCAGCTCGTCGGGAGGGGTTCCTCCCGGCAAGCGTCCACAGGCCAACTCGCTGGGAGCGGTTCCTCCCAGTGAGCTGGTTTTTAAACCAGCTCTCCGGGAGGGGTTCCTCCCGACGAGCTGGTCTGTGTACCAGCTCGCCGGGAGGGGTTCCTCCCAGCAAGCTGGTTTTTAACAGGCTTCGTCGGGAGGAACCGCTCCCGGAGAGCTGGTTTA